AAAAAAAATGTTGAGAATGCAATAGACGTAACATATGAGTAAAAAGGAAGTTTTAAGGAAGATGCAAACGAAAAGAGACACACTTAGAATCAGAAAGAGACAGATCAAATACCTTGGATTCATTACGAGGAAAGAGGGCTTGGAGAATTTGAGACTCACAGGACACTGAAAGTATAATTGGAAGAGGGAAACAAATAGTATCCAATTTAAAAGGTTTGTGTAAATGGATGGCGGAGCGTTTAGTGGAAGGGATGGTGAAAAAACAAAGCTTATTAAGAGATACATTAAACAAGATGTTGTGGAGAGCCATGATCGTCCACGTCCTGAATAGACACGGTACAGTTGAGCCAAGTTAAAGTTCATTCTTTGTCTTCTGCGTCTACACCACGTTGTTGCGGAGGGGAAAGACATGAAAAGTTTCTTTCGTCCTGCAGTTCTCTGGCTTTATACCGCGTTCAGTCTAGACCAGAGGTTCTTAAACGTTTTTGAGTCACGGACCCCATTTGTTACGCACCCCCAGCAGTTCATAAACAGATAGACAGACAAATAGATACTGACTGGTTTTACACAAAACATGTACGTGGACTTTTCCATACTTCACCCACATACACAGTTCAGGCACATTACATTTCAGTGAGCGACGCTTGAAAGAAATTGTGGTCAATCAATTCTCACTAGTCTACGAGAAGATAATCAGCTATAATAAACTCATTAAAAAATGAGAATTATAACTTGCTTTTATGGAGTGGCAAAAGATGGCTGTCGTGTTGAGGCTACGTTTAAAGGGTAATCATGAACGCAACAGTAAGTCAAGAGACGTCTAATGATCAGTACTGTGAGTAGTAGCTGGGTAGGTTTTCTTTCAAGAAGCGGAAGGATTGAGGGGAAACCTTTGATTGAGATAGGGGTCGTATAGCGAATATAAATGTTCATTTTTATAAGATCCTCACGGGACTCCTGAAATCTATCCATGCCCCTTCCGTTAGTGATGAATGGACCCTAGGTGATGAAGCTCTGAATAAAAACCGTGAAGAAGTCAAGGTGAAGGCACTTCCCTTTCTGTCATAGCAGTTGAAAGATAATAAACAGAGACTCTGCAGTCCATGATCGCTAATGACACGAATAGGTGTGTTTTATAGCCCTTTCATATTGAGAGTATTCTAGGCCGACCATATAAATTTATCTTTCTCTCTCTCTTCTCTCGGCCCTGTGATCGCTAGTTGGTTTGTTCAGAGGTAAAATGAGAACTTCGACAAAAGGAATTATTTAAACTTATCTATTTTATTTAACACATCGACGTGTACATTTTTAACTAGCCAATAGGGTTACTCTATCATCCAGACTGGGGAGCAAATTCCCCGGTACACGAAATAACCATGTTTAATGTGTATGACATGTAAAAACACTTTCTAACTAACATTCCGCGTTCGGCACAGCCAATCAAAATCGACATCTCTATTTTGTCTATCATCTGACCTTAAGATCAGCCTCAGAAGGTCTGGGCCAACTACACTACTACTAAAAAATAATAGTCTGAAACTATTATTTAACAGGCGTGGCACATACTATACAGCTAAAGAAAGGATCGTTCACATTCGTGTGATGATCCCAACTATGGTCCAATAATGATGATGATGATTTCACGAAAGAAAATGCCATTCAAAGATATATGTATATCTTTAGCTATAATCTTTATTCAAATTCATTAGTAAGTACATTTTACTACTTGTTATGGTAATGGTATAAGCCGTTTCCCTAAAAGAAAAATTTAGCATTCTTTAAACAAGCAACCACAACTGCTTTCGGTTAAAATTTATAAAATATTTCTCTTAAAACACTTTTAGGAAAGTAGTTTTCTCAAGAACAGAAGCTGTTATCTCCCTTTCCAGTATTGATGGGAGTTTCCTTCCTAGCTTTTTATTTGAAGTGGTGTGAAATGTTAACACCCTGATCATTTTATTAATTTCTCTTCGAGTTGCATGTGCTATCCATTTTAGTTGCTGCTCATCAAGTGATGTGGTTAATATTATTTGGCACAGTACTTTGTGATTATGTAGCGCCAGTCTATAATGTTAAAAGAAGTATGACCTTTGCCAAGGACCTCTCTCAAAAGCCTTTTTAATGTTCCACAAAGTATTTATAATGTTGTGTTTTGTGTGGCACACATCTGTCGGTATGAAAATTGTGACTCAGGTGGGAACCAAACTTCTATGAACAGGTGGATGGAAATTTTGAAACACTTCAAATGTCCTCAAGATTTATCGCGTCGTCTAACAAATTTGGAATAATCTCAATGTTTCTCAAAGATGTGTTGATGTTTTGCCTAAATTTTAAACTGTCAGAAATATATTTTATATATAAAAAAATATATCGTTTCGGCCATTAAAACCGTTACCTGTCATTGTTCTTCATCAGTAAAATCCGATTTTAAATTTACACTGTTGACTACCATTAGCACTAGTTGTAATATCCACAGTTCCAAGCTTTGTCTATACTATTAAACACCTCAATTGATTTTTGATACTAACTTTTCGGTAGATCTATTCTACATATATCTTCAGGTTTATTACATTTAATCTTTTTACGTATGGTTCCACTAAAGAAGGCTGTAGAACGTATCGGGCGAACAGATGGGATAACAACCTTTGGAAGGAGGCCTAATTCAGATGATGATGAGGAATCGGACCATAACCTACTGTGTGACGTCGTCCCCCCTGGTCGCAGCGTCGACTGTGTCGTTCGATCCCGTTCGCGGCGCCAGCTGTTTGCTCCCTCGCTGCTCCAAGTGTGACGTTCTAACCCTTTGGTTAGATGAATACCAACCTCGTCGTTCCCAACCCGCTTCCACGCCTGGTTACCAGGGTAACTGCACTGATCTCCGTTCTGCCTACCCACGTTGTGATTAGATCTTAGACAGACGGGATCAAACAGGGATTGGGCCGTATGCAAGCTGAGTCCAACGGGGGTGATAACACAAAGAAAAAGAAAACTCACAAGGTCAAAAATGTTGAAGGAAAATGTAACAACTCTTTATATCTAACTGCTTGGTACACAAGATTATTCCTACCTCTCGACCCGTTCTGTAGACTGTGGCACCACGCTTCTACCAGGCAACTTTAAGGCTTCGAGTTGCTTGCTCTCTAGAAATTTGCATTTCGGGGTGTGGTTTGGTTTCAACACTGGACGCTGATCTCTACCTGTCGTTCACGGCTGATTTCTCTCGCCGTCCGTGGCTGCAACTGCTCTCTCTCCAGGGTCTGAATTATTGTTCACTCATCTCCGCCGTCAGAGCGCGAATTAACTTCTTCTCTTCGGCTTCGGTTGGACGAGCTTATTCACTTCGGCTTGGGTTGGACGAACTTCTCTTCTTAGGCCAAACGGACCGGCCTTTCTTGGCCGCAAAGGGGCGAATGAACCGGGCCCGCCGTCCGCGCTCAAACTCCCTCGCCGTCCACGGCGCAACTCTCTCGCCCTCCGTGGCTGCAACTAAAAACTCTTCTCTTCAGAGTTTGAATTATTGTTCACTCATCTCCGCCGTCAGTGCGCAAAATTAACGGCTTCTCTTCGGAGTCTGAATTACTGTTCATGATCTCCGCCGTCAGTGCGCGCGCTTAAACTTCTCTTCGGCTTCGGTTGGACGAGCTTATTCACTTCGGCTTGGGTTGGACGAATTTCTTCACTTCGGCTTGGTTTGATTCCAACTTCTCCACTTAGGCCAAACGGACTGCTTCACTTCGGCTTCTCTTGCCCGCAAGGGGGCGAATGAACCGGGCCCGCCGCCCGCGCTCAAACTCCATCGTCGTCCGCGCTGCAACTCTCTCTCGCCGTTCGCGCTGCAACTGATTTCTGTCAGTTGGGGTCTCGCTTTTATTGAGGCAGTCAAAAACTGGGGTGGGTCTGTCGGCGCCAGGGTTTTCTTGATAATTCTAAATACGTATTATTTCTGATTAGGGATTTTCCATTTTCGGTAACTTACTTTTACTCCCTACTTCCTTACTGTGCCTCTGGGGGGCGTATACCCGCTTCCCTGGTCCTTCGTATGTCAGGTGACCGCTCTCGACCAATGGGGTCCTGGTCGGGCATCTTTCCTCCTCCCTCGCACATCATGTGACCGCTCGGCCAATGGGGTCCTGGTCGGGTGTCTCCTCCTCCCCCTCATGTATCATGTGACCGCCTTCGGCCAATGAGACTCTGGTCGGTATCTTTCCTCCTTCCTTCGTGACGTCTTTAATCAGGCGTGGACAATCCGTGGCTTTGTTCTGGGGGAAGAAACACCTTGCTTAAAAAACAAAAATTTAAATTGTCCTTTTCGTACGTGACCGAAATGACGATCCCGGTTTCTTTTACACGCGGTATTTGTCAAACAGTTTATCGCTAATTGGATACGATCTAAGAAAGGGATTTCCCAGACTGGGTGGCGTTAACGTGAACTAATAAAAATATTTCACTTTTTTTCTTTCGCTCGGAGCTTGTTAACAAAAATCTTAATTATCTCAAAAAAAAGCATTTTCTAATCATCATCTTGTGTGGCTGTATTTTCAATTCTGGAATTGTCTAGGTTCTCGTATTAATGGATTGCCTGTATATCCTTAGATAAACTTCCCACCTGTTACCTATCATATTTTTTCCATTGTCTCTAAACTTTATTTCTTCAACCAAATTGATAACAAACTTCCATTTTCGTGGACACGGAAGTAGGTCAGGTGCTTGACCGACATGTGTAATGTATCAATCGCGCGTGTGTTTATTCGCCCACCAGGGTTTCGTATTATACCTTTCTTCTTTCTTTTCTTCTTCCTCTTTTCTTTCTTTCTCCCAGATCGCTTGAATGTAAAGAAAGAATTATTCCTAACCCCGAAATATTTTTCAGCCTTAAATAATTATCAAATGGTTGACAAACCGTAAAAAACAAATCATATATTTATGAATATTTTTTTTCAGCATTCTACTTATGCATGGTGCCACAACTATACCGGCCCAGCACATCGCATATCCAATTTTACAGCACCTTTTATTCCCAGACGGTCATCCATCTAAGTACTGACCAGGCTCGATGGTGCTTAACTTCGGTGATCTGACCAGAACTGGTGATTCAACGTGATAATTGCTGTAAGCTTGTTCTATACTAAAAGTTAAATCATCTGTTTTTTCGCCAGTAGAACGTTTTACATGTCGTAATAAACAGAACTCCGTATATCATCTGTACTGGCTACATCTATTGTCCCTAGTAGGGATTTTTCCGACAACAGTGAACAGTGTGAACGGGTGCGTTATCCTAGAGAAAGAACATATCTACCCTCAGCATTCCTCTGACTTTGACTTTTTGCTTGTTTCAGTTGTCTTAATTCTTCTGGATATTACTGTCCATCAATAGTTTTGTTTTACCTTTTTCTAGGAAGTCTATCAAGATTGCGTCTACAGAATTCAAAAAAGCATATGCCATCACCTTACCAACAGACGATGCCTGCTTGAATATCCTCAGGTGTAGAGAATCACAGTGTTTCCACTTTTTGCTTTGAATCTTTGATTCATGTTCGAAGTGATGAACCTTGGTTTCTTCTTGAGATACTAATCTGCAGTGAAAATTATCAGGGTCACCTTGGAAGCGAATCAGAACTGTCTTGGAAATGTCAGCCCTTTTCAACTTCTGCTCTGGTGTCAGCATTCATGGGACCCGTCTTACAGACGGCTTGTTCATCCACAAGTTCACAGTAAAAACAGTATGAACCGAACTAAAATTAATGCCTATGGACATAGCTATCTACTGGAGAGTAAGACGTCTGTCATCCAAAACAATACGGCGATTAGCATCAACTTGTTCATCAGTGGTTGAGGTTTTTGGACAACCTGACCGATGGTCATCTTCTGTGTTCTCCCTGTCCCGCTTGAATTTCACAGCCTACTTCAGTTGCATAGGAGGGGGAATCCTCAGTAAATGTCTGTATGATATGTTTATGGATTTCCTTCGATGTTATATCTTTCTTTTGTAGTTATTTTATGACTGCTCGGTTTTGTCTATTTTTTAGATTTCTCGCACACTTCTCAGTTTTGTATGAGCCTCACCTGCACAGGCATTAAGACAGAAATCTTAATTAATCTTCTAGTTTTATAAGAAATGGTAGTGTGTTACTAGAACAAAAAAGTTCAGCTATTACTCTTCTTTCTTGGTGAGGCTTAGAACGTTTCGAACGACCCTCGTAGATTTATTGTCTTATGAAATGTCACATATATGAAAAGCGTTTTTTCTGCAAGTTCAAGATACTCTATTCTTCGGGGAATTCAACCGAATCACAAACCATTATTTTAGAAAAGAATACACAGTTTAAATGAAAGTTGGCGTAAGTTCTTGGATAGGCAAGGAAAAACGTTATAAACTGAAGAATAGTTCACCATAGTTGTAGATATTTCAAGTAAGTTTATAAATCTATACACATAAATATTTATAATGTATATAATACATATATTAATATATTTTGCTAATACACACACGCACACACTCACTCACACACATATATATATATGCACAAACACACATACACTGTACTTTATATATATATATATATATATATATATATATATATATATATATATATATATATATATATATATATATATATATATATATATATATATATATATATATATATATATATATATATATATATATATATATATATATATATATAAATTAAGTGTATATATATATATATATATATATATATATATATATATATAAATTACAACTCATTTAAAAGATATGTGTGAAATGATGCGAATAATAGATGAATGAATGATGATGATGATGAGAAAGAAAATAATGAACAGTGATCCTCCCTGATCACACTTGTGAATTTCAATGATTCATAAAATCATTTAAATAGATAGATAGATAGATAGATAGATAGATATAGATAGATAGATAGATAGATAGATAGATAGGAAATATATGATAGATAGATAGATATGGAATAGATGATAGATAGATAGATAGATGAATGATGATGGGAAATATAGATAGATAGATGATGGATGATGATGGGGAAATATAGATAGATGGATGAATAGATAGATGGATGATGAATAGATGGATGGGAAATATAGATAGATAGATGGATGGATGGATGATATGGATGGGATATGATGGATTAGATTTGATGGATGGATGGATGGATGGATAGATAGATGGATGGATAGATGGATGGGATAGGAAATATAGATAGATAGATGATGGATGGGAAATATAGATGGGAAATATAGATAGATGATATATGATGATGGAATGAATGGATAGATAGATAGATTCTATTCGAACTTGCATTTACATCTAGCCAATTAAACTTCGCAGCTGTTCTATTATTTCATTTAAATTCATTTAAGTAGAATAGAGGAAAGTTCCTACGAACAATCACCATGAACGTATTCATAGAAAACGCACAGTGAACTTACGTTACGCCGGTGTGCTTATAACTGACACCCAGATACGAAATCAGGACCAATAACATTGCTGTTCTTTAGATTTTATCAATAATCTCTAATAATATATAGCAAGAGTAATATTAAGCAATGCAGTAATAACTACTTTGAGTTAGTCTGTAAGGCTCAAGCTAACTGAAGTCGTGTTATTTTTAAAGAACAACATGCTAACCACCGCACTATGATGTGACGCAGCACGAATTATTTATTCAAAGTTGGGTTTATAAATTACCGTTAAGTATGAGCTCTGTTCTTGAAGAATACTTTTTTTACGATAGAGTTTGGTTGAGTCTACTAAATGAAGCGATAAATCTGAAGTATCATTGAAATTGGTCTGAGTTACCACACAGCTGTCCCTCTGGGGAAAAAATCTTCAGATTTCATAGAAGAATCGAACCAAACGATAGATTATTCATTCGATAAATTTAATGTCGAAAATAAACAAATCTCTCAATCAACAGAAAGACCATAATACTCTACCTAGTAATTTTATGCAACGTTCAATTTTAACCTTCAATCTTCGGTGTTATAGACAAAAACATTTTCTCTTGTAATTAAAAGAAAAAAACTTGTAGTTGCAACGAATGATTTATTTTATGGAAATATTTCGAGTAGCAGTTACCAGTCTTGGTCACTCTTTAATTTGAGTAAAACAGTGAAAAGAAATTAGAAACGCTTAAGAATTCAAATCAAGGAAAAAAACCGAGATGATGACGTTTACAAAGTAAGAGCAAGTTGAGGCGTAAAAAAGGAATTTTGTTTTTACTCTACAAACTGACTTTTTTTTTTGTTATATCATATTTTTCTTTAGAGCAGAGAGGTTCAGACAGGATGGAGTTGTGCTGCATTTATCATATTGCAGGCATTTTTTGTAGTTGCTATTACCATTTATTCAGCTCGTCTTCTTTGATTGAAATTCTTTTGGTTCGTCAATTTTATTTCTGGATGGTCGAAGTCAATTCTGTGACCTTCTGTAATGGGATGTAATGCAATCGTTGAAGTTTTTTCTCAATTTTTATTTTTCATTTGAAATTACCTTATCACAAAATCTTCGATGTCCTTCCAGCGGTGTTACCATTTTATGTAGCAAGTATTGAAAGGACATATTTATTGAAAGGACATATTGATAATAATGGTCAACAAAAAGAAGAAATTTGAAATGGTGTCGAGACGCCAAACACCTTTTTTTTCCTAATTTGAGAGAGCTCAATCTGAAAATGACCTTACTTTTTCTTGGTTAGCTGTACAGAAATGCCTTTTTTTAGAAAAAGAATCATTTTTCATTTGTTTTCTGTATATATTATATTGACAGATGGCAATATTTCTCAAAATAAAATCGTAGAAACATCCCAATTTTTATTTAAACCAACAAATATTGGCCTGCTTATTGAGAAATACGATTTTTCAAATAACAATCAGACCCTTGGTCTTGAAAAATAAAACGATTGATTATTCCAAGACCAACACGTATTTTCATCAAATCATTTAATAAACTAACAGCAGAAATAAAAGCTTCGTGAACATAAGAACTATGGGAAAAATTTTCTCTTTCTGGATTGTCTGTCATGTTCAATGTTATTTAAGTCGTTTTTGATACTCCAGCAGTATCATGTACAATGGGATAGGTGCATTTAATTGGGATGCCTTTAGTTGGAGTTTCTTTCTAGCTGTGAAAACTTCACAATTACTCACATGTTCTGTTCGTAGTATTCGTAGCATCTTGTGATGAACCACGTTTGTGTTATCTCAGTTCCCTTCTTGATTTCTGCGAAAGTTGTTCACCATCCCCTGATATCTAAAAGGATTGATATTAAATAACAACTCAACACTCTTTGTTTGGGGACCTGATAGACCCCTCACCCCTCACTTGACCTTTTCCTCATCAATAACAATGTTTTGCACTCTTACAAGATGATTGGTACAACTGCTGCCGAAGGTGGTAAACTTTTCGATTTATTTTTAAAAAATACCTTTTATTATATTAAAAGCTCTGTATTCAACCCTTTTTATACCTTACAAATTCTTGTCGCATGTCGTGTTTGCTATTTTCTTGTTTTGCCTTTTTTTTTTTGTTTTTGTTGTTTTTTTTTTGTTTTGTTTTGTTTTTCACGTTTCTTAATATTTGCTTAGCTTTCGGAAGGCATCTTTCAATACGCCTTCAGATATTTGCACTGCGCTTGAGGTTGCTATTTGCCATTCGATGTACGCCTTTTGGGTCGTTTCTATCGATAACAACCATACATTCTGTCTTCTTTGGTCACCTCGTTGTGGTGTCATTATACCATTAACAATCATGTCTCGCTAGTACAATTACACCTGAGTAGTGAGTTCGATTCTAACTGAGTGTCATGTGCCGCTTTTAAGCTGCGCTTAGAAAATCACCATACAATCTATCTTCTTACAGTTGATGTTTTGTTCTATATTCTCACTCTTATTAGATAATTCTCTAGTTGTTTGTGCAATTTCCTTTCTGTGCTATCAATACTGTATTATCTGCATATCTTTTGTTGTTAAGAGTGGGTCTGCCGGTAATTAATCCCGGTAGGACGTCTAATTCTCTCAGTAGCTCCTGGCTGTAAACATTGAACAGATCTAGTGAGAAGACATATCCGTAGCCATTTCTATTTTTGTATATTCACTGAATGTATTTTCTATCCGTATACAGTCCGTTTGAGACCCGTATAGGTTTCTGCATTATTCTAATGTCTTTCCCAATTAAATCAAACTTTTATAGCAGTTCACGTAATTCAACAAATACGGAAAAGAAAAAAAAATACTGCAATATACGGTGAGATACTGTGACGAATAAACGATCCGTTTTTACTCTAAATGTGAATTTCTTTTTTAAGTTGAGAACTTTAGATTTTCATTTAAAGGTAACACTTTATAAACTCTTTTTTTTTACATGGGTATCTTAGTTGTTACATTTTATTACAATTTTTAAATAAAACATAAAAACAGTTTATTTCCTGGGCAAATGAAACTGCAATAAGTGAAAAAAAGCCGGAAATAGTATAACAATTTACATAGCCTTATATAAGATTTATCTACGTCCTTTTAACTGATTTGGGACTATGGTAACCTTAAAACAAAGAATATGGAAATTATAATTAATTGTGGACAATTTATGGTAAAATATACAGCGTGATCGTGATTTTAGCAAGTCAAGTTTATAATAAATCGAAAAACTATCTTTAACACGCACGTATATCGCACACACACACACACACATGTAAACATTCAGACTTAATAACATATATCAGTATGAACAAGCAGAAGAGAAAACAAAAATTTCGCCCCCCACCAGTGGGGACTTTATGAAGATAAATATGAGGATATTATTTAGAAACATTTATTTATGAACGGAAGAAAAATGGCTGAATAATATTGTTAAGCTTATAAAGTTTTAAATTTAAGAGCGCTCTAAAATATTATTAAAGCTAGCTCTAAATAAAGGTAAGTGGTATAATTTAATGCTTAATAAAAAAAAGAAAATGTTGTTGTACTTGTTGAATATTTAGTTTCTTATTTCTTTATATGCAATTATTTCTTTTTCATACAACTATTATTTGTTTTATTTTAATTTGATAAATTATTTATGTATTTATTTTAAATAATATAAAATTTGAGAGAACCCTTTTCTTTTCATTTTTAAAACTGTTTATATTCATGTATATTGGCTTAGGAAAGAGTCTTTCGTTTAAGAAAGGAGATATTTGAAAAAAAAATCCAGAACGTAACTTAACATTTTTTTTCAAAAACCGATAATTTAATTCTCAAGAACTTGCTAAATAAATTATTTTTTAGTAAGCATAGCATCATATATACATATATATATATATATATATATATATATGAAAATAGAAGATATATATGAAAATAGAAGAAAGAGAATAGGCAAAGCAAAAGAAGAAAGAAAGAAACGAACAATCTACCAAACAAACAAAGAAAAAAATATGGCAATAACGATATCAGGAAAACGTAAAGAAGAAAAATAAAACAAAGAAAACGAATGAAAAATTAAAGAAAGAATTAAAGAGAGGAAAAAGCATGAAAAATCAAATAGAATAAAAGTTGGAATGAAAAATATTTAAAAATTTAAAAACAAAACAAAGAAATCATGTCAAAAATGAATTAAAAAGTGGTAGGAGAGAATGAAGGCGAGAAAAATATAAAAATGAAGGAAGAAAAAGAAGAAGAAAAAGAATAAGGAACACTCTAAAAAGGTAAATATGAAATTAATTGTATAAGGCTTGAAAATTCGAAAGAAAGAAAGAAGAAAGAAAGAAAGAAAGAAAGATAGAAAGAAAGAAAGAAGAAAGAATTGGGTTAAAAACGTAAAGAAAAATATAGATAGAAAGGAATCAGAAAAAAAACAAAAATGAAGAAAGAAAGTCATAAACAAAACTAAAAAAAAGAAAGAAAAAAGAAAGACGTTCAAGGAATGGGTTAAAAAATTATAATACGAATTTGGAATAAAGAAGTAACTGAAAAAATAAAAAATAAAAACTTAAGAGAAGATGGCGAACAAAAGAAGATTTCTTTCAAACGCGAAAAAAATATCAAACTTGGACCGAAAAATGCCGACTTGTAGGAATTGGATTATTTTGAGTTTTATGCGAAAGTCAGACGGCTTTTGGCACGAATTCAAACAGGAGACTCTTTTGTTTTCTTTTGTTTTGTTATTCTGTTTTTTTTTCCCAGATCAGCAGCTTCCATGGCAGGAATTCCTTCCGCCATGTCATGCCCGCTCCCCAGTTTCAACCTCCAGTTCCATTGTGAACATTGGAGAGATGGACTTGAAGTAATCTTCAAACTATTTTTCCTCTTTTCTCTTTACTTTCT